AAATCCAAAAGTTGCAAAATAAAAAATCTGATTTGACTGGATCGGTCGGGTCCAAGTGAAACATCCATCCCCATCGATGAGTGGAAATGTTTGATTTTATTGTTCATATAATTTATCAGGTTAATTTCAAATATTTTAAAAATATAAACAAACTTGATTTGATTTAACTAATTTGTGTCATAATATTATAAGTAATTTATAATTAAATTTAAAAAATCAAACAATTTGATTTAATTTAGCTCAACTTTATAAATTTGATTTGATTTTTTATATATAATTTGAATAATAAAATAGAGCTCATTAACGAAATTAACTTAATTTTTTAATTTAATTTTAATTAATTCCATTGAATATTTACCTATTTTTCACCCCAAAAAAACTTCTGAAACGTGATAATGAACGAGACTTCAACCTACAACGATACTGGTCTTTCTATCCACAAAAGAGAGAGACAACAAAAACAACGCATAAAAACTAAGTGCATTTCCAGTATTAATATTCAATATAAAATAGAATCAAAGACGGAGATCGGTTGTTTAAAACTTAAAATTTTGAAAAATAAAATAAAATATACAAATAATTATAAAAATATGTTTAAAATGTTTTTTGGTTAATAAAATTTCAGAAATTATAAATAATTATTAAACTTATCAAATCGTTATAAAATGATCACTACGTGTTATAAAACAATGATAAATTTAATGGTTATTTTTATAATAATACGATAAAATTCAATAATTATTCTGTAATTTTTAAAATTTTAATAATGAAAAACCGTTTCAGAATAATTTAATGAATAAAAGAAAAGTTCAGAAAGGGTAAAATAGGAACTTGTGCACCAAAACAACCTACTTTCAGATTCTAGACTTCAAAAAAATTCAAAATCTTAGTGTGACAAAATTTTACCCAAAAGCTCTTTCACTGAACCACCCTCACCCTCTCAAAAACAGCAAAATAAATAAATATATCAAAATTCCCCAAATCCAAAGGCAAGTGTTAGCCGATATATCCGTCTATAGCTCTTTGAATCCATCGGGATAAAAGCTCCGATTTGTTATCTGGTGAATGGAAGCGATCAGAAAACAAGCTACGCGGCTCCGAGAACAAGTCGCCCGCCAACAACAGGTCCCTCTATCTGTATATCCTAATTCGAACTCGAACTTGTTTTTTCTTCATAGTTGCTTTAGATCCAGGTCAACGCCAATTTCTCAGCTTCGTACATGATCTATCTCTATACATTTTTCATACGCACACACATATATATAGTTCGTTTTGTCGTCGATCTGGTTTTCTTTTTAATCTGCATAATTTCGAATCAGCGTTCCATTTTCAGCTAAGTGTCGGATCTATTTCCACGTGCCTTCTAGCGTGTTTATGATTCGTGAATCGGATCTAAATAGGTCGGAAATAATTGTAGTAATTGTTGTGCGAGTATTAAACTGAAAATGATGAGCTATTGAATGTTATTTTATTAGCTAAATTGAAATTTTTGAAGTTGGAGGATGGAATTTGAAATTGGAATCACTAGTCTTTTTAAATATTGTGTTTCAATCGAGTGATAAAAGTGGAAACAAATGTAAATTGTTTGATTTATTTTTCCCTTTTGGAATCTGTTAGAAACTCCTCAGTATGTTTTATTTGTTTCAGATTGCCATCTACGGGGAGAGCGTATCTTGTTTTAACTTGAATGCGTTACTATGTTCTTGTTCTTTTGAATTTATTCTTTTAACTCTTTTCCTCCATGAATGTTACTTCAGGCTGTTTTCAAACAGTTCGGGGGATATGGAGGTTCAGACAATGTAGTTACTGATGAGGCAGAATTCCAGCAACATCAGAAGCTCGAGAAGCTTTATGTCTCGACTCGTGCTGGCAAGGTTGCTAAGTTGTTCTCCTGCATCAAATTTTGCCCCGTGTGTTCTCATCATTTACCTTCGCCAATTTTGTGTTTCAGCATTTTCAAAGGGATATCGTCCGCGGTGTCGAAGGATATATTGTCACTGGGTCAAAACAAGTTGAAATAGGCGAGTTCGTGAAGCATTTTTTTATTTTTAAAAGTTTCCACTTTGAATTCAATAGAACTGACGTTGTTCTGTCATGTACATCTTTTCTTGACAGGGACAAAGTTGTCTGATGATAGCAGGAAATATGGTTCTGAAAATACTTGTACCAGTGGTAATACATTATCAAAAGCTGCATTAGGTTATGGACGTGCCCGAGCTCAAATGGAGAAAGAACGTGGAAATCTGCTAAAGGCTCTTGGGACACAGGTTGGTTTAGTATTTTCATTGCCAGAGCATAAAGCCATTGAAAGTTAATTTGTTAAGTTGATGAATACATGGAAGAAAACTTCTATGTTAATATCGGTTGTTTGATGACCTGTACATGGATTTACTCATTTTTACATTTATTTATATTTATCCCTAATTATAATAGGCCATAAAATCATCTGGATAAATTTTTGATGATTTGAATGTTAGGTTGCCGAGCCATAAGAAATCATCTGGATAAATTTTTGATGATTTGAATGTTAGGTTGCCGAGCCACTAAGAGCAATGGTAATGGGAGCTCCTTTGGAGGATGCGAGACATCTTGCTCAGCGTTATGACAGAATGCGACAAGAAGCTGAAGCACAGGTTTTATAGGCTATCAATGCCCTGCTGATTGGTTGAATATCTGTCTGTTTTACTTTCTTAGCATTATACACTCATTTATGAAAATATAGTTCCAAACAATTAGCACGTGAAGGGCTGGAAAGCCAGCTAATAGTTTTGAAGATTGGCTTATTGCGGGTCTATTCGTGATGTTTTGTGTTCTCTAGAGATTTGACGAGAGTGAAATTATTTTTTCTATACAATGCATTATGGAGTAATACTTTCCCCTTGCATTTGATGATTATGAAATTTTAAATTTGAGAGGCTGATTGTACTACATATTTACACCCTCGAACATATGACAGGCAATTGAGGTTTCGAAACGCCAAGCAAGAGTGAGGGAAACACCAGGAAATCCCGAGAATGTCATGAAACTGGAATCTGCGGAAACAAAACTGCAAGATCTAAAGTCAAACATGGCAATATTGGGGAAAGAAGCTGCTGCAGCAATGACTGCTGTTGAAGCTCAACAGCAGAGGTTGACACTCCATAGACTTATTGCTATGGTAACGCAAATTTCCTTGTGTAAGATCTCAATTTTATTTTGGATGTCTGGGATCTTAATTTTAATATTTTGTCCTATTTTATCTCGAACCGGAAGGTTGAAGCTGAACGTACATATCATCAACGAGTCCTTCAGATACTCGATCTGCTTGATGCCGAGGTATGAACTACGCTACTGAATCCTTTCTCAATATTCTTTTGCTGAAACTTACCGTGCAATATTACTTCCATATAATTTTCTCCATCTTAATAGATGAGATCCGAACGACAACGAATTGAAGCACCTCCTACCCCGAGTGTAGACACTGTGCCTCCACCTCCACCTCCATCATATGAGGAAGTCAATGGAGTTTATGCATCTCAAACAACTAATGGATCAACAGACAGCATGGGCTACTTTTTGGGCGAGGTCTGTGACTTGTTTGTAAATAGCTTTGGCACATTGGGATCAACAAGTTACTTTAATCTGTGTGGTGGCCAACTAATTGATGTATTACTACAGGTTATGCACACGTATAACGGTGAATCCAATGTGGAGCTATCTTTGTCAGTTGGTGATTATGTAGTTGTGCGAAAGGTTTGACGACTCAAGTTTTAACAATTTTACATTCGTATATGATTTCCTAGAATCTAGTAAAAGGATCCATTTTGTATAAACTCGTGGGGTTTTGGCAGGTGACGAACAATGGCTGGGCTGAGGTGAATGGAAAGCTGGTTGGTTTCCTTTCGGACATCGAAAGAAGGACCTATCTTTGTCAGTTGGTGATTATGTAGTTGTGCGAAAGGTTTGACGACTCAAGTTTTAACAATTTTACATTCGTATATGATTTCCTAGAATCTAGTATAAATCCAAGGATCCATTTTGTATAAACTCGTGGGGTTTTGGCAGGTGACGAACAATGGCTGGGCTGAGGGTGAATGCAAGGGGAAAGCTGGTTGGTTTCCTTTCGGATACATCGAAAGAAGGGACCGTGTTCTTGCAAGCAAAGTAGCATTAGTTTTCTAACACTTCCTCTGCTTGTTGGTGTCCGGGAAGACTGATTTTGTATGTGCATCTTTTCTCCTTTTTGGTGGTTTATTTGTGTTTGAATGTGTATTCGAGTTGGAGAGTTCGTCCCAAATAGAAGTTTTCTTCCCTACATGTGAATACATTTTTACATTTCAGTTTATCCCTAGGGTTCTTTATGTTTGATAAATAGTTCTCGAGTGGTTTGGTTTTTGTTTGTTTATACTCGTTTTTCAATTTAAATAAACGAAACACAAACAAGATTTTGATATTTGTTTATTGAATGAATCGAACACAATCAAGGCTTGTTCGGTCTATTTATGTTGATGACCAAATCTCGCTTATGTTCATTTGAAGTTTTGTATAGTAACTTAAATCTCGTAGAATTTATTTTATTATTCAATCATTATATAATTAATATTTATTCATGTGTTTATTTTATTTATGAGAAAATTATTAATATTTATGTTTGGTTATTTAATATTTAAAACATAAGAATTATGATTAAGTATTTATGTTTAAAAACTTGTTTTTATTCTATCAATTATTATGTAATTAACAACATTCTTAATTATTTGCTAAAACTTGTTCAGTTTATTTATATTAATGAATATATTTATGTTTGTTAAAGATTGTTTAGGAAATTACATAAATATCCTTTAAGAAACATGTTTTTATTGTTCAATTATTATATAGTACATAATATTTTATTGCTCTTTTCAGCCCTATTTACCCTTTTTTTCCTTCACCAAATAATAATCCGTACCATCAAACAATGGCTCTATGGCAATTTATAAAATAACATAGTCAAATCAGCTTCACCGGACTACAAATATACATGAACAAAGACTTCATTTTTCATAACACTCAGAATGATATATGTTTTAAAATCTCCGACAAGCAAACTTAAAATACCATAATAGTCCTTTTTTAAAAGAAGAAATTATTACATTTATATTATCTTTGAGTCTAAAACTCCAAGGATGATTAACGAGACATTCCTCTAACAACAAAGCACGGTCCTGCACAAAGGAAAACGAGAACGGGGAGAAGTTAATTAAGGGACTAAGAATCCATCACATGACGGCGAAATCCGTTATTTTTACTAGCGGTACCAATAAGGACGGACACATTATTTTTTTAAAAAAGAATGCGAATTTTTAAAAAGTTATATTGTGTGAAATCACAAAATTTCGAGGTGCAAGCATCAATAAAAAATATAAATAAAATATCTAAATTATATGAAAATTTTAAAAATATAAAGAAAATATCTGAACTATATGAAAATTAAAAAAAGTACCGGCACTCCCTTATGTACAAATGATAATTATTTCATTATACAAGTGACAAAACTTACTAGTTGTTAGGCCGATTGGAACTCCGATTAGCCAAAACAATGGCCAATATAATGAAAAGTATGAAAGCCTGCATTGGGTTATAATCAATACATATCCTCAGAAATATAGATAAAAGAACGCCGGGAAATGGTCACGGTAAACTCACCAGAAGTGGAGTGTAATTGGACTGACTCGGAATAATGTAAGATTTCCTGGTCAAAAATGTCTTTTTAAGTACGAAGATACGAAAATAACAAAAATAAAGTACATAAATATGGAAGTTTGGTAGACCTTTCATTCAGGACCCCAGAGTGCCTGCAAGTCTTGAGGATTGAATCTAGTCTGCTCAACGTTTTTTGTGCATTGGGATCGTTATGGTCAACCTATAATGCAGGATGGGATATGAATATGATGCATTCAATGACATTATTGAGCTCGGGTATAAGTTGGTATATCGTAATCGAAATATTAAGAAGAACCGCATACCTTAGCTTTCAACATACAAGAAAAATCATAAAAAGCACCGTAGACATCAGCCATCGTGTTTGTTCTGTCTATGACTTTCGCAGTGAGACCTGTAAACACAGCCAAAGATAAATTCAAGTAATGCTGGACACAAAATGGCATATTCGATTTACATAAACAAGTTTAAAGAACTTCAAACCCCTTTTTAAGGGTCAGTGCCTCTGAGATTTAAACTTCAAAGAAAACCAGTCCGAAGACTAATGAACTTACCGCGTCTCATTTTCACTACACCTCTGAAGACTTCAATGTTGTTGTAGCACATAGCTAGTGTTCCAATAGCCATGACCTAGTAATTGAAGGACCAGAGGAAAATAGAGATAAACTTGAACAGATCAAAATTTGACAAAGATGACGTGCAACTCAATCGATAGACAGGAGTGAAAAGAAGTGATGAAATACTGTCCCAAACCTGAGGTATAGCACAAAATCGAAAGATTGAAGGATCACGCAAAGCAGACAAGTACTTCAGGCAATCATCCACATGAATTAGAGCATTAGTGATCATGTCATTCAAGCACTGCATAGCCTTGACTGAGTTCTCCCAGTATTTCATGTCCTACGGGTGAAAATATAATATAAGAAACACATACGTAAAAGATGTTCCAAAAAAAAAAAGATTCATACGCATTTAAAAGTTACCCAAACGGAATTTGGTTACGACTTTTAAGTGGAAGTTAGGATAGAAGATGTAACAGAGGCATACCTCGAGTTTGTTGGCATACTTACTCCAAATCTCACGAGGCCAAAACATGCGCGACTTTGGTATCTCATTAATATCCTCTAGATAATCTCGGATAATATTTGTTTTCTGCCATTTTGTTTGATCCAAAACACAAGAATCATATCTTTAAACAACCGTCAAAATCCATGCACGAGAAATGTTGCTTCATTCATACCTGAAGAAATAAACCCATTGAATTGGAGAGAGAATCGGGAGCCAAATATTCTGACCCACAGGCATGGAAAAGTTTAGAAAGACCTAATCCCACAAGCCCTGCTACATAGTGACAATATTCATCATAGTCATCGACTGTTTCTACCTGCAATACAAGATCCTAGGATCATAAATAGGATAATATGAACACATTTAAGACTTGTATTCATGCATACATATTGCACAGATTAGGCTAAGCTAGAGAGGTCATGTTCTTATATATGATAAGAAGCAATCTGGAAGATATCAACCCGAGTTTGATACTTTGTAAACGAAAAATTCATTTTCAATAATCAAATATCTAAAGCAAAAAGCCTCTTTTTCTCATTCATACATCCAGGTATAGGTCAGCACTCAGTAACTCATGACAGATATAGCAAATTCATATTAAAATGTCCATAGGTAAACCCATTTGTAAAGTTCATTCCAGTTTTCATATATTTCTGATAAATAATAATAAGGTGAAAATAAATATTGCAAATGACAAACCTCCTTGCAAATAAATTTTGCCATCCCTGAACCCATTCTTTTCGTAATGTCCTCGATTGCCACCTGATAACTGCAGAATCAATTGAGAATTGTTGATTTTTTTTTTGGGGGGGGGGTTTCAAAATCCAATAAAGTAAACAAATAAATCAGCACCGCATTGAAATCTTCATAAATGAGGAAGATCAGGAAAAAATTAAATAACTGACCCTCTTTCAAGTTCCAGAAAAGCAGTAGATACAAGATGAAACTGGTCCATAAGGATTTTGTAGTTCTTTGTACCACCTGAAGAAAAGAGATAAAGCTATATAAGCAAACAAACCAGGAAGTTTTCAGCAATAAAATGAGCCCGATTCTGGTGATACATTGCTATTCCAGGGAAGTGTCAAGAGAACCCTCCTTTGAAGGAGGAGAATTTTCAAAATGCTCACACATAAAGTGCCAATCTCGATTGTATATATGACGATAAAAGTCTTCAAGGATAGGAACTTTGACATCCGTTGCTACACTGGTGTCATCCTCTGCAAGCAAAAAAAACATCAGACAAATCAACCAACACATGGATTTAATGGTAGTTTAAAATTGGTTTCTTATCTAGCAACTAGAAAAGGAAATGCAATTTATAGATTATAGTTTAACACCCAACCTAGCAAGCAATGAAGCCAAATATGTAGCAATTATTCCTACTAATTTAGAATCAGTGATAAATTATGCATACTGAGAAAATGACATGAAAAAGAAAAGAAAAAAAGGGGTTAAAAGACTCAAGAACAAACCAACAGTATCAAGGGCCCGAAGAACCAAATAAAATACGCAGACCTGCAAAACCAAAAAAATGGAACAATTGAGATTAGAAAATCAAAACACTGAAATGTGTGGTTCCAAGATTGGGATCAAGCTGTTGAATGAAGCATCAAATTGAACAATAATTAGTCTTAACATTTATGATCAATACCCAAGAACAAGAATCATAGAAATCGACAAGAAATTTTAACAAAATCAGACGATCCCATATAAAACTCAAATGAATAACCAGGGAAACACAGACGCTAATTGCTTACGGCGTTTCTAAGCTTGGGATCAAGCTGTTGAATAACGAGGGCAAAACTACGAGAGACTTTGTGAAGCATGGAGAAACAAAAAGCCCAGTGAGGCTCCGATGGGATCTGTTTCTCGGCATGCCTCGAAGCCATCTTGAGCTTCAACAAAGGATAAAAATCATCTGGGTGTTTCACAAGTGCTCCCAAACTCCCCATTAAATGAAAATTTATCTTCAAATCAAAACCAAAACAGCAAAAATAAAATCTGGGTATATGGAGAAACAGAGGTGGGTGGATCTCTAATGGGGAAATACTAATTGGGTTTGTTTTTATAATTTAATTGAAACGATGCTTGGTTCTGGCCTAATTTCTGGCGACCCTGATTAGCTAAACAATTTTTCATAGGTAAAAATATCTTTGAGTCAAATCTTAAATCTTTTAATTCATTTTCGACCTGGCCTTCAAGACTCTATAGACAAAAAGGCTGTGGCTCTGAAAGTGTTAAATTTTCAACTAAAGGGAAGTTTTTGGACTAGGCTGATCAGTTGTTTTATATTTTTTGAGTTAATTTATTTTAAATTTATAATTTAAATATAATTTAAATATGATTTAAAAATATACATTACTTTTAAGTTTATGTTCTTTTTATATTTATATTTATATTATTAAATCTTCTATTTGATAAAAAAAGAAAAAAAAGAAAAAACAGGTGTTGAAATTTGGCATATATTTATTCAGTAATTTGACTTTCAGGCTCTGTAGCCCTTCAATCCTTTTGTGCTGTTTAAGGCGTGTTTGGATGTCCACTCTTTGATACACAAGAATTGGGTGATGTATTAACCGTAAATTTTCTTGGGTAAACTATACAATTAACAACCTAACTATTGTCCTTTTCATTTTAACAACAAATCTTTTAATTTTTTCAATCATGTCACTCAACTATTTAAATACATTCAATCAAGCCACTATTCGTTAACCTTTAACAAAGAAGCTGATGTGATAGTTAAAAAACTTAGTATAATTAATGTTATTTATATATTTTATCAATTTAGTCCTAATTTTAATAGATTTATTTTCCACCAATCACAAGATGATAAGTGTCACCCTCTGGTGGAAAGAAAATTAAGAGCACCCACATGTTATTTTTAAAGAAATTTGAAAGGTTTTAAATAACATTTATATAGTTTAGGACAATTATTTTGGTAAAAAAAATACATCGAATGTGTGTTTAGAAAGTCAAGATTAAGTGAATTTAAAATTTTGAGGTTCAACGTTATTGATAGCGATAGTTGAAGGAGATCAGTGACGGAAATCAACGATGATCGACGATGGTAATGAGTAACGGACGACGACTTGGACTTTAACTAAATTCAAGTGTTAAATTAATAATTCATCTAAAATTTAAGAATTAAATTAATATTTTATCTAAATATTAGTATTATGACTAAAATTCAAGGATCAAGTTAAAATTTAACTATTTTTACTAACTTATTACATTAACAAATTAATTGAAAATAACTATCAAATGATCAAAATAATATAAATCAAAAATCAATCAGAATGTAACTTTTTTTTAAATTAACAACCAAAACAAGATAACAAAAGAAAAAAGGACCATCAGTGTAATTTACTCAAAAGAAACAATCCATTCTTCGCTGGGTGGCACGAATTATTTTAGATTAGCGTGTGGTTGCTGCCAACTACTACGTCGTCGCTACTCTCTGCTACATTCGCTGTCAGTGGCTCAGAAAATATTTTTAAAGACGAATATATATATATATATATTAATAATAAAAATTATATAAAATAAATAAATAAATTTCAAGATAAGTACGTGATTTTCTGTGAACAAACTGCATCCGTTGTTTGCAGCAAGGGACGGTACAACCTACATGAACGAAAGAAGCCATCATGTCTACGTTAACGACAAGTCTTGCACGTTGAGCCAATTTGGACCGTCATTTTTTAATTTGATGCTTTCCCCCTCTTAAATGATCGAACCGATACAAATTTGTGGGGGATTGGAACATACTTTTTTGAATTGTTACTGATCACACGTTTGGAGGGTCGTTGATGGAGCCATCGACCTTTAACAAGGACAGAACTCACATTAATTATTGTTCATGTCATAGCATATAATTATATGATATATATATATATATATATATATTTACACGATAATAAACAATTTTTATGATAATTTTATTAGGAGTGTGATAAGCATAACTTGATAATTTGAGGTTAAAAATTGGGTAAATTATACGAATGGTCACTAAGTTTGAGTAAATTTTTGTTCTTCTCATTGAAGTTTCAAAATAATAAATTGGTCACAAATATTATCGATTTATAATAAATTGATCATTAACGTTATCGATTTATGACAAACCGATCACTTGATGTTAACATTCGTTACTAGAATGGCGGAATGCTAACATGTCATGTTAATCGGCTGACATAGCACGTTTTTACCGGCAGCTTGATTGTTCTCTCCTCTCCTAGAATGAAATGTGTTGTTTAAACACTTAATAATGCCCTCAACAATGACTTTTATCTCCACTGCCACCATACAACGGCGATGACTACCCACATGCATCACTAGACATTATTATATAATGAACATGTTTGACCGACAATTTGACTTTTTTATCCTCTCCTCTCCTTTCTTGTTGTATTAAATATGTTGATTTAAACACTTAATAACCTCTTCAACAGTGAATATCATCTCCACCGCCACCAGACAACAACGACGATTGTCAACTTGTAACAGTGACGGATCCAAAAATACTTTTGAGGGTGGACACATATATTAATAACATAAATTTTTATTATGATAAACACAAATAAAATTTCAATTTGGGCACACTTAGGAGCTCATTGTATAATTGTGTAAAAAAAACCTACTGTTTTATCTAAAATCTAGGGTAAACTACATAGATGATCACAAGTTTGAGTAAGTTTTTGTTTTCTTCACTGAACTTTCAAAAGTTAAAAGTTGGCCATTAACGTTATCGATTTGTAACAAAATGGTCATTCCACCGTTACTTCCGTTAAATTGATGATATGGAAACGTTAATGAAAGGAGGATGTGCGGTGAACAAGTTGTTGTAGAGTCCTCCCTCAAAGTCAGCTTCATGAGTTGGATCCGCCAGACTTACTAAATGCCTGACCATGCGATAAGCATGCTCACTATCGTGAAGATGAGCCTACAAATCAGTTTTCCATGTTGTTGACCACCCTGGACCTTCATCCCCTGTTTCAGATTAACTTAAGCAGATTGCTTAAAATGTATTAAAAGTTGAAAACAATATAAATCTTCATATAGTCACTGGCTCTAACGTCTACAGCAGTCGTCAAGGTTCAGTGGGAAAAATACATACAGAGAGTATGAGGTGGGAGAGGAGAGGAGGGGAGGGGAGGAATTCCGTGGTGGTAGTGTTGGGTATTTGAAAAAAATTGAAAAATTTTTAGGGTAAATTAAATATAAATCATTTAAGGACCTATTAGTAGTAGTTTATGGGTGAAGCTAAATATTAAACTTTTTATTAACGTTTCCACGTCATCAATTTAACAGAGGTAACAGTGGAGTGACCATTTTATTACAAATCAATAATATTAATGATCAATTTATAACTTTAAAAGTTCAGTGTTGAAAAAAACATTACTTAAACCTTGGTGACCATCCATGTAGTTTACCCTAAAATCTATCGCGACGGCTTATTGCTTCTGTCAGTGTAAGTTTTAGATACGCAATCCTTGAGATGTTCTCAAAACATTTCGAAGTCCAAACTTCAGCAGCTTTCTATGCTTAAAATATGTTAACCATGAAAACACTAACTCAACCTCCTTTGATCCCTCTCCAAAACCCTAACTTCAAACCCTCTCCTCCTTCAATTCATTTCCCCAAAAGACCTACTTTCTCCACCCTTCCTTTCCACCCTTCCTTTTTATTTTCTTCTACACTCAATTTCAGGCCCAGAAACCAAAGCCGTCACTGCATTGGCTGTGGCCAGGAACTGAACCATGAAACCAATGAAGATTCGGTTGAAGAAGAGAATGGAGAACAAAAGTGGAGATAAGCCGGGAAATCAAGGCAGAGGGGTTAGCGAATCAGAGCATATGGATGCAAATGAAAGAGATTGTAATGTTTACTGGACCAGCTAGTGGACTTTGGCTTTGCGGGCCTTTGATGAGTCTCATTGATACTGCGGTTATTGGTCAGGGAAGCTCGGTCGAGCTCGCCGCTTTAGGTGATTTATTAAATGAATTCCTTGAGAATTTTAAAATTTTAATTTTTTTTCTAATTGATTGATGAAAAATTGTTAAATGATTGATTCAATTTGGTTATGCAGGTCCTGCAACGGTTGTTTGTGATTATATAGGCTATATTTTTATGTTCCTTTCAGTTGCTACTTCCAATATGGTGGCTACTTCACTTGCTAGACGGGTTAGTTTCTTTGAACATTAATATTATTGTGGGTGTTATTGCTTTGATCAGTGGTAACTGTAATGTTAACCTCAGTTGAGTTGCCATTAAAGTAATATCAACTGGATTTTAAAATTTTTATAGATATAACTTCAGGATTAAATTTATGACTCAACACGATTGTTGATTGATTTAATCAAAAAAATGGGGATTGAAGTCCATCATAATTCATATAGCAATAGTACTGAAATTGAGTTTTTATGCATATGTTCATAGAAATGCTGCAACTTTGTAACGCATTATTACTTTATTATTTCATTGTATTTAACTACTTCCACACTGTGGGTCTTCCTCTTTCAAGGGTACTCTAGTATATGGATATTTTGTATAATCTGCTTCTATTTGCTTCACCATGTTTAAGGCTGCATTTTAGGCTTAATTCTTTAACAATACTTCCTTGCTGTAGGATAAGGATGGAGTGCAGCATCAAATATCTATCCTGCTCTTTATCGGGTTATTTTGCGGCCTCTTGTTGCTTATCTTGACATTTTGCTTTGGTTCGTGGGCATTAACAGGTAAAAATGACTGGTAAAGCCTTTTTTTTGTCAGTTCCAGATAATTAAAATGCAGGATGCTTATTGACCTTGTTGACTGGCTGTATCTATGGTTTCCACTTATGATAGATGGCAAGAATCCAAATAAAAATGAATTCATTCTGCCATTTGATCATTTCAGTTTTTTCTGGGCCAAAAAATGCACATCTTGTACCTGCTGGAAACACATATATTCAGGTTTACTTTCTTCAATGTTTATTTCCTATTTAACCTTTCAGTTATTCTCTCTTAGTAGGCTTTCTTCCTTTTATGCACATAAACCTTGGAATTTGTTAGACGGAAAGGTAACTTTAGTAATGAAATTCGTACTTCTTTAAATCAGTTCTATTTCCTTTCCTCTTGATTGTTCACGGTTCAGAGAATTTGAGAGAATGTTCATTTTCGGAAAACTGAAGCACACTTATTTTGAAGATTTCTTAATTTTTTT